CGGGGTGCTCGGCACTGCACCCCCCCGGGGTGCTGCCCGCCCATGGGAGGGCCGTGCCGGTGCCCGTCCTGTCCCGGCTCGCCCAGGCACGGGGCCGGCTGCGTGTCCCGCTGAATCACCCCACCTCCTTGCTTCACCCCGTTCCCCGTGCGGCTCCGCTGCCCCCCCCCGGGGTGCCCCGCTCGGCACAGGGATGCTCACCCCCAGGCAGCACAGGGTGGGGGGACCCTGGAGAAGGTGCAGACACCCAGCTCTGGGGGGATGTGGGAAGCGCGGGGACCCCGAGCAGCCGCAACGTGTCCCTGCACCGGGGTGCCGATGCTGAGGTCCGAGGGGTCGTCCTGGCTGGGAGACCTGCAGTTCGGAAAGCGCACAGGGGAAGCAGCAGGGAGCTTTGGACGTGGCAGCGAGCCATTCCCACCCCGTCCTTCATGCTGCGATGCACACAGAGGGCTTTGGGGCCTGGGGTCATATCCTGGATCACAGGGCACTCCAACGCGCTGCCATAATAAATGCAAAGAAATGCTGGCTCTGGACCACGCAACGAGACCTTGTGGTGCAGTGCCAGAGGTGTCGGCATGGGGCAAAGCCCCATGGCTGGGGTTTGCAGTGTGACTCTTGCACCAGGTCGCCAGAGTCCCCATGGTGCCACATCACAGGGGTGGAGGCAGTTGGTCCGTGTCACGGGCTGGGCCAGGGCTCAGGGTGCGAGGGACGCGGTGCTCAGCAGCGCCAAGGGATGCCTGGATCCTGGGGACGGTGGCACTGGCCTGGAGACCTGCTGTGTGCAGAGATGGCATCTACCATGGGCATGAGCATGGTATCCACCATGGACGTGGGCATGGCATCTTCCATGGACACGGCATCCAACACAGCCATGGATGTGGCATCTGCCATGGGCACAAGCAAGGCATCAGTCATGGCCATGGGCATGGCATGGGCACGGACACTACACCAGCCGTGGGCATCCACCACCATCACACACGTGACATCGCTGCCTCCTCCCAGGACTCCCCCCTGCCCTCACGGTTGGGGTCTTCAGGGGGCACCATGGCCCCCAAACCCTTAAATTATACCATTTAAGCATGGCTGAAGAGGGTGATTTCAAACCCATGACCATCCCAAAACCTGGGGCTGAGCCGGGGGCACAGGGATGCTGCCGGGCTGGTGGCAGAGGGGCTCTCGCCTCCGCTCCCGGCACTGTCCCCCCGCAGCGGTGTGGGTGGGCAGCAGCAGCAGACAGACAGAGGGGCGCCCCCAAACCCTTAAATTATACCATTTAAGCATGGCTGAAGAGGGTGATTTCAAACCCATGACCATCCCAAAACCTGGGGCTGAGCCGGGGGCACAGGGATGCTGCCGGGCTGGTGGCAGAGGGGCTCTCGCCTCCGCTCCCGGCACTGTCCCCCCGCAGCGGTGTGGGTGGGCAGCAGCAGCAGACAGACAGAGGGGCTGAGCCACGATGGCACTTTGTGTGCTCCCACCCGCGTGCCGAGTTACTGCCTTGCTCCACTCCGGCGTGGGAGCGGCTGCGGCCGGGGAGGGGGACGC